GTTTTAATTTCACCAAAGTCCTCAAAAACGGCTGGCTGGCTGGCTGCAATAATATCCTAACTAAACACCTTGTTTGCTGGAAATTTGAATGTTAGCCCTACTTCTTTCTGTTCTTTTGTTCAAATTGAGGAAAACATGCCTTGTGTTCTCCGCAACATGCCTTGAACCACAAATTTGAACCATACTTGAGGATTTAAATAATTGCTTCTTTTTTATTTTTCTTTCAATTTATCTAATTTTTAATATTCATTTTTAAGATTTAAAATAATTATTGATTCAAAACTATTTATGGAAGCAAAGATATGATTTTTATAAAATAATAAGCAAAAACTTTTTTTCCATTTTTTTGGATTACTTGAAGGTTAATAAATAAAAATATGTTCTTTTTTTAATGCAATATGGCCTCAAAAAGGGCATTTTCGACATTAAGGGGGTTTTTGTTAAATGTTTGATCATTCAACGGGTGAGACCGTTATTTGGACAAATTACAGGGATTGATTGATAATATGATCAAACCTCAGGGGTAATAAATGTAATTAACCCTAAATTAAACTAACATGCAAGTCTTTTACAATCATTTGAGCAAGTTTTTACTTTGTATAAAGAATTGACCTGCTTTTCGAGTCAATTCCCCGTCTTGTCGCATTAAGTTGGTTTACATCTTTTTCAAGTGAAGAAAAACATTTTTAAGTATTTTATTGCTCCAAGTCTTCAAAACCGGCTGGCAGAAATGGATGCTTCAACTTCATAGCTTTGTCTTCTTTCTTGACTACTTTCCTTCTTGTCCTTGCACTATATGAGGAATGTAGTAGGAGAGAGTTAACTTGTCTAAAAGATTGTGGAACCACTTGTCGAACTTGTTCCATACGACAAAATTTTTATTCATATGAGAGGATGTAGTGATACTTTGCTTTGTCTTCGACACTTGGAAATTTACTTGTGCCTATAATAATCAACACGACACTTGGTTGTTGCGCTTCACCAAAGCTTTACTCATCTAAACTAATTCCACTGGCGACATTTGGAGGGTTTGGAGAGAAACTATAAAGTCACGTTTGAATATTTTTGATAAGTACCGATGAATTGAATTGGTCTGAGCTCTGAGTGAGTGTCTAATTTGTGCTTGCAAAAACACAAAACAAGAGAAAAGTTTCATGCCAATGTACGTTAGCTCAATTGATATGAAAAGAATAACGAAGGTCAAGTATTTGAACTAAAGTTACTTTTTAAAGATTGCCTCCAAATACATGATATAACATGTAAACACTTGCATGGGCTATACCCATGATCCTAAAAGCTGCCGAAAGAAAGGAACTCTTCCACTTTGGAAAAACTCTCGTAATTACTCTTTTCGATTATAATTGACGGAATCAAGTTTAAATAATAAAATAAGTTATAGTTTTGGATCCTCAGTTACACATTTTCATATTACGTTATATTAAAAACTAATAAATGTTATACTAAGACATATTCTAAAGTCTCAATTAATATACATTATTGCAAGAGATACGTGACAATCAAACAGATAGCGTAACAAGAGTGTAATAGGAAAAGTGCTGCTTTGCTTGGACTGTGATTTTTTCGTAGAAAAATTTTTTACTTTTTTTGAAAATATATTTTTAATTACTTTTTTATTGCACATACATAAAATTGTTAAAAAACTTCTAAAAATAGCAATACAAATGAGACGTAAGTATTACGGACCATCAAAATGTTCGTTTGTTTGTTTGTCTTGGAGCGTTCAGCAGACACGTGAAATGTCCCAAGAAGAAGTAGTGGTTTTTGTGACATGGGGCAGCGATGAAGATACGGAAGGAGGCCAGCTTCCACACAACGCCGTTCACCGACAAATGCAACAAACAATAATCGGTTCTCCCGTTTTCACATTAGAATTTTGAGCTGTCTGTTCGGCGACCCCATTAATCTTCTGTGGCCAGCATGCAATAGCCCAAAAGCCGAAACCAGTAATTGACAATTTCGCCCCCAAGGACCCCCGCCCAAAAATCAAAAATAAATACACCACTCTTCTACCGTCAGAATCCTCCTCACAAAGTCACACACAACATAATCAATACTACCAGTAATTTGTGAGCTCTAAAATTTGCTCACAGCTAAAATAACAATAAATATTTCCTGCTTCCAAGATGGCCCAAGTTAGCATTGCCAAGACATTTTTGGTGGCCATGGTTTTGGCAATATTCTCCACAGCCTCAGCCCAAGAGTCTCTGTCACCGGCACCGGCGCCAAACACCGGAGCAGCCTTCTCCTTGCCGGTTGCAACCACCATGGTCGTTGCCTCCATCATTCTCTCCCTTTCTGCTGCTCTCTCGAGGCACTGAATTTTTCTTTTCTTTTTTTTTTTTTTTTTATTGTTGGTGTGGGCTGGGGGGTGGAGTTTTGCTGTTATATGGTTGTAGCGATTGATGAGTTCATTCTTTTGGCCCTTTGTCGGATTTAATAAATAAAGGAGTTCTTTTTTGTGTGCGTGATGATTTGCTTGAGTTGGGATTATGAATCTGGTTAGTGTTGTACTTCAATGAACCAAAAAGAAAATACAGCTAATATCACATTCTAATGCTGTGGAATGCATGAAATTTCATCTCATGTGTTTATTTTTTTTGTTATACTTTTAATCGACTCACAGACCATGAAATCAGAACCTTCTACTTAAAAAAAAAGGGGGGGGGGGGGGGGAAAGCATCAAAAAGCGAAACGAAGTTTGTAGTGGGAATGTTTTAATTAAGTGTCACTTTTTGCTTGCGCCTCCAAGTTTTGATGGTCTCTGCTCGCTGTCAAAAAGATCAATTTGATGTATAGTTTGTTGGTAATGCATCAATCAATCAAGAAAAGTTCTTCCTCTCCCTCTTTTCCTTTTTTTTTTTTTTTGGCCCTAGCTGTAGCAAAGAATGAAAAGCCTTTTTTTTTTTTTTGAGCTACATATGTAAACCCCATAATCCTTGCATCTCACACCAAAAGAGTATTTGCAGCCCACTTTTCCATTTTCCTTTACACACATATAATTCTAACTTCTTCAAATATTAGACTCCACCGCAATATGTTAGCAAGCTACAGTAGTATATATTAAAGATGCAAAAGCTGAACCAAATGACGTTAACATCCTTCCTACTAATTTGGGTTTGAATCTCTTTTGGTACATCTGCCCGTCACACCGAGTTTATCTAATGTATCTTATCTCTCCGTGTGATTGGCGGATTATTATATGAAACGGAATTTATCTAATGCGTACTCTCAAGTAACGGCTGTTGATTCCCTTATTTTAAAAAAAAATGACATTTACATTTATGCATTTCAAAGGTCCACTTTTACTATCCAAGTTTATATACATGAACAAAACCACAAGTGACAAGACTAAGTCGACTGCCAAGTTAAATGACATTTTAATGTAACTTTTCTTTGTAAAGCACTACGCTTTGTTTGGTTTTTTCCATAGACAGAAACAGCGCACGCACACTTAATTTAACACAACGCAGAGGTAACACCGAACACATCGGCACAAACGAACAATCTAAGGTGGGATCCACGAGGAACATCCATCCAGTCAATTGGTGACAGGAGGATGCCCCCATGGACCTTAAATCCAGGATAAAGACCCCACGATCTTTCGATGTGGGATAGAAAATTCTCCCATCCCCCCCACGCGAGCCTCACTAGTAATGGTTTGTTTTTTCTATAGACAGAAACTACGCTCTGTTTGGTGACCGCCTTTTTTCCGTCCCCTCCTTTTCTATTTGGGATAATTTCAGAAACCTCCCCTGAGGTTTCTTACAGTCTCAATGAGCTCCCCTGAAGTTTCGAAAATCCCATCTACCTCCCCTAAAACTAAGTAGATAGTATCAGATTCAACCCAATTGAGGTTGATAATGAATATAAAATATGTATCAGGAGAGAGAAAATAAAGAAATTCCACCTCTGCCCTCAAGATTGTCATTAGTAAGGATGTTTATGTTGAATAGTACAAGAGCAGATGGCTGTCATCAAAATTTGAGGGGGTGTATGTGAAACTTTGGATTAAGGCAAGGATGGCTACAAGAAATTTTTGTCTGCTTCATGCCAACGGCTCTTTGTGCTGTTGTTTGTAACGGTAAAAAGTAGAGCAGTCTTGCTTTGGAACTTTATATAATTGCCTACTGGAGTTGCAACAGAAAGCATTTGGCTAGAAGCTAGTTTGTGGCTGAGGTTTCTGCAAAAGTGTTCATACAAGTATAAGCTGAACTAGCTACAAATAGATGCAAATGGCTTCTTCAAGCCTGATAGATTCATCATGGAATTCTCCAACTTTATTTTCAATAAGAAACAGATATTGCCATTGTCATAGGAAAGCAAGCATTAAAATTTCTGAGAGCAAGAGGAATCCAAACAAGCTTTATTTCTGCTGCTCAAATTGCAAATTCTTTCAGTGGTTCGAAGGGCCTGAAGATGGTGAAGTGAGCAGCCAAAGAACAGATCAACGTTCAAGCATGCAAAAGGAGAATCAAGTGCAGTTTGCCAAAGTAGAGCAGTCGAACTCCATAGTGAAATGGCTGCTTATAACGAACCTCTTATTCATAACTATTTACGTTTTTATGTTGATATTCTTTCAGTGGTTTGTAGGGTCTGCAGATGGTGAAGTGAGCAGTCAAAGAGTAGAAAGACATTCAATCATGCAAATAGAAGATCAAGTGCAGATTGGCAACGTTGTCCAGTCCAACTCCATAGTGATGGCATTGCTTATAATGAACCTTGTATTTTTAGCTATTTATGTGTTTATGTTGATTGTAAAAGAGGTTAAATGAGTACTGGTTTATAATAGTAAAGAACCAAATTCTGCATATAAGCTTCCAATTTTGCTTATTGAATACCACAAGCATTGATTACACAATAACCAAATCTAAAAGTAATACTGCAAATGAAACTTCAGTTTCTGTTGAGAAACCATTTCATTCTACTTAGTTGCTGCGATACAAAAGCTTTGAGGTATGTGGAATTTATATGTACAACAGCCAAATGGCATCTTTTGGTATCCAGTTTCATACAAAAAGATACATTTCTCCAAAAGATCAGTTATCAAATTTTCAAATACCAAACTGAGATCACCAAAAGATCAGATATCACATGTCTCCAACGTTAATACCACATGATCAGATATTCATGTCCTCTGACATGCAAATAACAAAAGACTCTTAATCAGATACTACTAAAAGGTGAAGCTGCTACTGACATTGTGAGAATCATGAGAAGCTGAAGCATTGATGTTGACAACTGTTTGTTCTTGAGCACTTCCACTGAGATGTAGTGCAGCAGTATGTTGAACTGCAATTGGCTGAGGTGCTGCTGATGAAGTTTTCCTTTTGGGGTTATATGTAGCAGATGGTGCAGATTTGTTTGAAGGCCGCCCTCTCTGAAATTTTGGTACATGGGAGTATTAATATACAGGCATGTAAATTAGCCAAATTAGTGGAGACATGATGTAAAAGGGATTAAGGAACAAATACCTTTCTCTTAGTAGCATTGGTTGCTGTTTGCAAATTTAAGTCAGCATTCAGTGCAGGTGTTTGAGTTGATGGACTTATGTTACTGCCTTGACTAGAAACCACAATAGGCACATTGCCATCAGCATGATCCTGCAGAAATCACCTATGCATTAGCAAATTTGGAGCCTGTCATCACAGGAAAAGTCTGCAAGTGAATCTAAAAGAATTGTAACCCATAGAACAGATCCTGCAAGCCCTGTATTTGCAATTCCCCTTCCTGGCTTTCCTCTAGCAAATTGAGTAACCTGACATGAAAATTGATAACAAATTACAAGCTCGCTTAGCAATTGAATGCTGTCAATTAAATCACAATACTGAACCTTGTTCGTGCCACTGCTGCTTGTGCTCTTTTGTCTCACAGGTGCTCTTTGACAGGTTCTAGTGTTATGGCCAAAAGCTTTGCAGTTTCCACATCTCATAGTGGTTGACCTTTTTGCAACAGATTGGCCTGGCTCATCAGGCCCTCTCCTTCTATTAACTCTTGGACGACCTGGAGCTCTTCTCAATGGTGGTGGAAGGACAGTTTTTGGTGTGACATCAATTAATGGAGGCCATCTCTTCTCATGAGGAATTGGATGTATCATGCCACTGTATGTCTTCAAATACATTTCTGTTGAAAAGCAAGGATCACAGTATGTCTCCAATTTATGTCTTTTGTATATAATTCCAAGTGCTGCATGCTTGCATGGGAGTCCAGACAATTGGAAAGCTCCACAGTCACATGTCTTCTGGTTCAAACTCACTATAAATGCTCTGTCACCATCAGTAACTTCAAACAAATCCTCACTTGCCATCTGCAATGAACATCTCCTAGAATGTATTGCAATTTCTTTGAGCTTTTCTGTGATGTTTTTTGGGATAGCAGACGTCCATGTGCAAGCCTTGTGGTACCTTTTGTGCAATTTCTTCATAAATTTTTTCCTCAAACCTTCAACAAGTGTCAATATTGGTTGGCCCCTTAAGTCTCCAATCCATGCATTGAAGGATTCTGTGAAGTTGTTTGTGACATGGTCACATTTCAATTCTGTTGAGAATGCATGCCTAGCCCAAGCAGAAACTGGAATCTTGGATAAGTACCTCCATGCTTCTATATTCATGTCCTTAATTCTCTGCATTGCTTCATTAAATCCAATTGCATCATAACTCTTAGCAGCTTGCCAAAAGAAGTTGGTCAGCAACATTCCAGGAAACTGAGACTTGAAGTTACTGCAAATATGTCTGCAACAATATCTTCCAATTGCAGATGGCAGTAGCTGTTCATATGCAAGGTTCAACCCCTACAATAAAAGCAAAACCAGTCAGCAGAAAGAACCAGATTTACACAACAGGTTGTCCAAATTTTAACAAGTTCAGTGTTCCAGTAATACCTTTTGTCTATCACTCATTACAGTTAAGGGAGAATTGTTATGGAATGGTCCAAAGAATTCTTCAAACAAATAAAAGAACCAACTCCAAGTCTCTTTGTTTTCGACCTCAGCAATAGCAAATGCAATGGGAAATATGCTGTTATTAGCATCCAATGCAACAGCAGTCAGCAATACTCCACCAAAACTACCTTTCAAATGACATCCATCAAATCCAACAAATGATCTACAACCAGCTAAAAATCCATCTTTCTGTCCTTTAAAACTAATAAAAAGTCTCAGGAACCTTGGTTCAACTAGTAGATTTGGTCTATCATAATGAATCTTACAAACACTACCAGAATTATGTTGCCTTAGAAGCACAGCATACTTTGGCAGTTTACTATATGATTCAGAATGGGTGCCTTCAATCTCTTCTCTTGTTTTTTGTTTAGCTCTATAAACTTGTTATTTGCTAGGATGCACACCATATTTTAGCATCTCAGCTTCAATGCCCTTTCTTGACAGGTGAGGATGGATTCTCATCACAGCTATCAGTTTTTTGGCCATCCAATCAGAGGTGGCCTCACGATTTTTGTTATCCATCACACATGTGTGTTCAGGTGTGTATGATTTAATCATAAATGTTACTGAATCAGTTACAGGGGACGCATGAATCCTCCAACTACATCCATCAACATCACAGATTGCAGTACACCTAGTTTTCTCATTCTTCAGCCTTTTGATGGGAAATCCTTTTTGGATCGCATAATCCTTCAGTGCTGCTCTAAAGGCATCAACATTAGTGAATAGCTGTCCCTTCTTGAATTCTATGTCCTCTCTTGGATTGTATGTCCACATCTTGTTTCTTAACACTTCTCTTAAAGGGTCAATTTCTTGTTCAGATTCAGAATCTGGTACAATTTCACCAATTTCATTATCATAAACCTCTGGAAAATCTTCATCACTGCTATTGGTATCGGACAGTGCCATTAGCTCATCACCTATATCATCTTCATTATCATCATCAAATCCTTGCTTCCATGACTCATCAGAGCTAGATTCACCCCCATACCCCTCATCCTGACTGTCAATAACATGAACATTCTGCTCATCATCAGCCAAGACAAAATGTTTGTTCTGAATTTCTATGTGTTGAGGTTGTTCAGTTGGGATAATGTCCATGTTGAACACCTCTATGTTTATGACAAGTTGACCTTCATACATGCAGAACATATCATGGACAGCTTCATCATCATTCACATCAATGTAACCTTCTGTTCCAGGTATTGCACATCTCATATGTACAAGAAGATTAACATTTCCAGGCATTTCATGTAATACCTTCTCAGAGACATCATTCAGCAGATTAATGAATGAGTAATTTTGAGGATTTATATTAGGAATTCGAACTTTTGTCCCTCCACAATGGAGTACAATGTCATGAACATCACCAGTCACCATCCTACAAGATCAGATATCACCATTTATGAACTTTAATAACTACAAACATATAATACTAGCTCAGAGTAACTCCTCTGACCTCATGCAAACCACTTTGTATGATTCGTATAAACAGCACCATCACATATGCATGAGTACACATTCTAGTTTATAACTATTATAACCAAAAACAATGCAAAAAATTGTCAGGCGATCATAGTAATAGCACAAGCTGACACGCAAAGCTAATGTAGGAAAATAAGAAGACATGCTCAGTTTCCACACGATCAGTAACCTCTTATTCAGCCATAAGCTACGTAGTATCTAACCTTGTTTTGCTTCAGATGCTCTCAAAACAGCAATACTTCACCCTTTCCAGCAATAATTCACCTCAATTTCTTGAACTCAATTTCTTGAACTCTCCCGCTTGTCCTGGAGCTCTCAAATGCTCTTCTCATTCTCAGTATGGTTGATGAAGGTCTATTCCTCACCCAAATAAACGATCAGTTAGCTCTTATTGTCACATCGCCAACCAAATAGGCGCCCATTTTTGGCGCCTTTTCTCTTAACCGAAATTAGCAATTCATTTAGCATCCAAATTCTAGTTAAGTTAGTTAATCATATGTATTGATAATTTCACTAATTATTTCATCTCATTATCAGAATATATTACTTCAATAGCAGGGATATTTCTGTCAATTCAACATCCATGACATCATATTTGGGGCCCAATAATCTGACAGGGGAGGTAGATGGGATTTTCGAAACTTCAGGGGAGCTCATTGAGACTGTCAGAAACCTCAGGGAAGGTTTCTGAAATTATCCCTTTCTATTTCGAACTTTTTAGTTGCACCTCAGTTGGAGTACAAATATGTACGTTTTGACAACGAGTGCACCTACAGTACTCAAAATTTGAATTTGTTTCAAAGTGCTAAAGTGCAAACGACCGTTTACAACGGAACACTTAACTGAAAAAAAGAAGTCTTTTATTTGACAGTAAGGAAAAAAAATAAAAGAAAGTGAATTTCCTGTTTTAGTTGTTTGAATAGCGAAACACATTTCAATTTTATGTGTCACTCTAAATCCATACCACCAATTTTGTGAATCATTTAGAAAGGTTTCTCAGTTATTTATACCAACATAAATAAAAGGATTTACGCTTAACCGTTAAATTCAGAATTCGAACTCTAAACCTGATAGTAGAAAGAAATGTTAAGAGCTCTCCTTTGATCACTGGATTTTAAAAATATAACTTAATTTGCAATTTCATTTTGATAAATTGGAATCATTTCACATTAACATAACCACTTTTAAAATAAAACGGAATTCACTTGTCCGGAAATCTCCGTGCAATGAACATAGCTAGTCAGTCTGAGTCACATTCATATGATTCGTGCCAGCCATGTTTATTCATTTTTAAACTTGATTTATTTGACATGAATAATCAGCATTTGGAGGGTAATCATTATTGTTCTTTCATTACTTTAATGAAATTATTTCAACCACCAATAATAAATAGTTAATTACTAGGTAGTACTATCTATTTTTCCAACATATTGCAGCGACATTTTCCCATTCCTAAATCCAAAGAAGCAAGGAAAATGTCTTATTTACACTCCTATTTTAATTAATCACACTTTTACTATCATTTCAATCATATAATTTTTTTTATTAAATTATACGATAAAACAAATAAATGTGTGCCTAACAAAAAAAAAATTCAAGTGTAAATAGTAATAATATTTTCTAAAAGCAAAAGAAAAATCGACATACCAAAGAAGAAAAGAGTCCACCTCAATGAATTCACAGAAATCAACGCGTCAAACTCCCATAGGACTCCTTCTGACCACAATTCTCTCTCTTTCTCAAAAGCCTCACCCGACCGTCACGCCAGCTACTTCAACATCACCCACGTTCTCACCAAGCCCAGCTGTCCCTTCCCTGCCCACCTATAAATATCCCCCGCCCGTCACTTCGCTTTCCTCCGCCCCCAAAGGAAAACCCTTCTCCTTGAGCTTGAAGAAGAAAACTCGAATCAGCAGCACACAACTTTTTGGTAACAACCAAATGGCGGAAGTTAGCATTGCGAAGGCTTTGGTGATGATGGTGGTCGTTTTGATGGCCGTCGTGGCAGCAGCATCAGCACAGGAGTCTCCCTCGCCGTCGCCTGATGCCGGAGCAGGGTTTTCTTTGCCGGTTTCCGGTGCTATGGTTGCGGTCTCTCTGGTGCTCTCCTCCGTCGCCTTGTTGAGGCATTATTGAGTTGATCTTCTTATTATTTATGTATTATTATTTGCATCCATTCCCCATGCTTGCGCTGGGGAATTATTAGAGGGGAATTTGTTCTGTTTTGTAATTTTTTGGAGTGATTATTTGTGAGTGTGGTTTGGTGGTCCCATTGGATTGTTTTTCCATCAGAATATAATAAAATTCTTTTACTGCTTTACTTTTAGTGTAATGGTTTAATTTGCCAAATTAAGTTTAAATCTTTTGAGTCATGGCCAAAAAATAAAAAAAAAAAAGGGAAAAGTTAAATAGCAAAAATAGGACACTGTAAATTCGTGGCTTTGGTTGTTCAATAAAGTATTCAATGCTCGTTAGCTAATTCATTGGTTGTTTAATAAAGTGTTCAACCTTCGTAGTAGTTCTTTACCTAATTTCATCTGGGAAGATTTTTTTTTTTTTTCAGTCCATAATTTGTTCATCGCAATAGCGACGACAATCTACGAGTTAAAGAGAAAAGTGTTGGATTGCGTGGTAAGACATGTGAATGAGGTCATTGAGATCTAGCTAAGAAGGGTTGAAAAAAAGCCCTTAGTTGGATTACATGGGAAAGAAATTTCTCAATTTCTGTGGAAATAT